CCCAACCATGAGAAAACTGCAAGAATTTTATTCCTTCTCCCTCCCTCCTCAAAGAGGGAGATCAGAAAATTACCTAGATTATTGAAATATTATAGATTATAGATTGAGGGGTACACACAGGCAGCAAAATTTGTGTATGAAAAATTGACAGAAGGAGATGATATAAAACGGACCAAAGAAGATATTGTTAAATTAAAAGAGTTAAGTTAAAACTAGCCTAAGTACCAGCTTTAAGCTTACCCTTGTTTGAAAAAACCTTTATCATTTATACATAATTACAGAAAATGGAGTAGCTCATAAAATTTTAATTCAGGAGTGAGGAAGAGTAAAAAATATCTAGTAGCTTATATATCAAAGATGTTAGACCCAGTAAGCCACAGCTAGCGAGTATGTATTTAACTTATAACAGCTACTGCAATCCTAATAAAAGAAAGTTGTAAGCTTACTTTTGGAAGTAAATTAGTTAGGTTCACCTCGTACTGTCTGAGGTGTGTTGAATAAAAAAAAAAAAGTAAGAAGAGAAGAAAGAGACAAGTTGAAGTAGGGGGATGGTTAGCAAACTCTGAGATGTTGGAATGTGGAGTGATCACGTCTTGGTGCTAGAAGAGAGCAGGAGTGTGAATGTGGGTTTTTTGCATGAAAGGCAGGGAAGTGTCTTAACACATGGTTGTTAGGAGGTTATTCAATGCCGAACTGAGGTCCAGAAAGGGTTTAGCAGAACGGGCCCTGCTTGAAGAGAAAAGAAGATAAGTTGACTAGAGAAAGAAAAAGAATGTCAGGAGCACCTGGGGACGCCACGTTTGGGGTTTTCAAGGTTGGGAGGTGTCTGACCGCTACCTATGAGAGGCAGGGTCTCGGAGGCTGCGGCAGGGACCGATCCATGGAGGTGACCTGGCGGCGGTGCTGGGAGCAGATGACACAGGTTTACCGGGCAGGAGCAGGCTGGCTCCGTAGAGGAACTGCTGGGGTGGCTTCCAGACTGTCGGGGTCCTGAGTCCAGGATGGCAGCGTCGGCCCCAGTAAGCGGGCCGAGAGAGAGAAGGAAAGAGAGAGAAGAAGAGAGAGAGAGGGGGCAAAAGAGACCCAAGGCATGCCCCCAGGGCCCCATGCCCGTGGCTGTTCTCCCCTGCTCCAGCCCTGCATCGAAGTGGCAGCACCGGGGGAAGGGCGAAGAACGGCATTGACAGCAAGGCCGTGAAGGGAGGGGGAGGGGGCTAGCACTAAATGATAAAATCAAAGCAGAGATTGCTGATTCTCCAAACCTCACAAAGTGGTTTGTTTTTCTTAATTAAGAAGTTTTTTGGTTTTTCTTCTTTTGTGTGTTTTGTTTGCTGTTAAAAATAAGTTTGGTTTTTTTTCCTGAAGAATGGGTTTGTAAGGCTAAAACAATTAAATGCTGCCCAAAAAGTAAAAAGCAATAGATGTGATACATCTCGTGTTAAATTGGTGTAGCTTTTCTTATTTAACTAACTGTAACTCACAGAAAGAAGAATTTGCCTCTGCAGCTATTAGCACAGCTGGATAGAAGAAGAAGAGGCTGCTGTGGAGAAAGCTTTTAGCTAAACCCAGAAAGTTTGGAAGAAAAGCAAATGGTAGAAGTTAATGCAGTATTATCTTTATTACTATGCTATTAAGAAGTCCTTTCCAGGTACTACTGAAGCAACAATCAGAATCACAGAAAGAGGGTGAATTCATGCCAGCAAAATCAAAGAACTTCTGAAGGAACCTGAGGAATGGACTATCACATTTAAACCGGGTGATACCAAATTGAATTTCAAACAGAGACTGAGTGGCAATGGTTTGGAAAAAGCCAAATGATCTAAGAAATGTACAAAGAATAACACTGAATTAAAAAGTAAGACAATGCTTATATCACTGGTTTCAAGCAATGCCTGAATAAAACATCTCCTTTGGGGAGGAATACTTCAGATAGAAAGATCAAGACTGTTTTTGTATTCTGACCTTAGCCTGAGAATTGTACAGGGGAGAAGGGGAATTACCATTTCCATCAGTAAACTTCATTTGATTCATTCCAATACTGGACATGATAGCTGGGTTATAAGTAAATGCTTGAATTGTGAGAATAATTAGTATTGTGGGTCACAAAATTTTTGCTCTTGTTGCAAAAAGTGTTAAAGTAATAACTTTGTTTTGTGGATGGGAATTATTAGTGCCTGTTGAATGAGAGATACCTGAGGAACAGTGGGAAACCACAGTTAAGGGGTGGCAAAAACTATTTGCCTGGAAATTAGCTAAGAGAAAGTGACAAGGAAATAGAGGGCAAGACCAGATTGGCCTCTATATTCGCCACCAAGAAGATCAAATACACCTGCTGTGGGTTGCAACCTCACAGGCATGGGAGGTGGGAGTATAAGCCATACTGGACCTCTGTTATTCCTGTTTCTAGCACTCATTTGTTGTCTTTTCCCTTTCGGGATACCAGCAAGATCATGTCACAAATGCTACAGAAAGCATCACATGGAAAGAAACCAAAGTTCCTTTTTTATTACACACACCTATGTCAACAGCCACTGTTATAACCCATCCAAATTAAGAACCTGTAGGCAAAAAGGAGAAAATTATTGGATTACAAGAAACTTAGGAATAAGTGGTAATAGACACGGAATGGAATGTCCAAAAGGAGAAAGATGGATTTGTTTTATATTTAATCTTGAAGATACGGTTCAAGATTTGGTAAAAAAACAAGTAGTAAACGAAAAGGTAAAACCAGCACAGCAATTTAACTCTGTATTGACCCCAAATTATATGTTGAGTCGTATTACAAGACTCCAAGCAGGTATAGAAATGATAACAAATAAAGCTGCCCAGGCATTAGAGTTGATATCAAGTAAGCAAAGCCAAACAAAAGCTGTAGTGTATCAGAATAGGTTGGCTTTAGACTATTTATTGGCCAAAGAAGGGGGTGTTTGTGGAAAGTTTAATATGTCAGATTGTTGAAAATTGATGACCACAGAAAAGTCATTCTAGCAAAAGCAAAAGAAATCAAAGAAGAAAAAAATATATATGCATATAATAACCCAGGTACCAGTCCAAAAATTAGAAAACAATGTTAAAACCTAGCTGGTGGGGTAATGTATTAGAAGAAATTAAGATCTTTCATTTTTTGTGTTACAACTGTTTCTATATTTCTTCCTTGTGTAATCCCCTGTTTTATTTTGCCAGCATAGTCCAGAAGATGCAAGTAGATAAGAAATATTGCTCAAGCCCAATGATTTACAAAGAATAAGAGTGGGGATTGTGAAAAATGCATGTATTTTATGATTATCTTTTCTCAAATATTAAAATGAATATTATATGTGTTGTGTTAGAAAGTAATGCTGTATTAATTCTCTTAAGTAGTGTGTTAAATATAGTTTTAGGTTATAAAAATTGTTAAAATAGAAACGATGCTATGTAGGATACTTTTTTTAAAGAAAGGACTCGCAGCGAGATAGCAGCCACAGGACACCTAAATCTTTCAGAGAAAAGGAATTTATTGCCCTCTTATCAGAAGAAATGAACTTCCTCCTGCCTCGAGGGCGCTGTTAGGGTTCGGAGGAAGAAGTTGACAATGACCAGACAGAATCCTGTATTTGAATGGAATTTATGCATCATGTATGAAGTGTATGACTATGCAACAGGCTATTGCTTTTAAGGGTTAATCCTTTGTCCTTTGTTTCGGGCTAGTGCTGCCCTGAAAAAGGTACCTGGACGTGCGTAACTCTTTGTCTTTATTGTCTCATATTGTCCTAATTCAAATTGTCCAAATTATTATTACTCTAATTGTATTACTATTTTTATAACCATTTTATTACTATTAAACTTTTAAAATTTTGAAAACAAGTGATTGGCGTTTTTCACAGCTGGAACTGCCGGGCATCCCGGCAGGCAGGGGGTCTGGGCTACAGTGTAGCAAAAACCCGGAGCAGTGGCAAAGAAACGGTGGGGGCCGGGCAGTGGCAGCCCGGCTCCCAAATCCGGCAGGGAGAGGCTCTCTGGGAGGGGGAAAGGGCTCGGGATCCCGGGGTTTCCCCTGAGGTACCCGAGCAGATGGTGAGAGCCCTTTTTTTTAGTGAGGTAGGGTGTTAATAATGTGAGAAATTATACTCACTTCTAAAAAATTTTAAAAGGTTTATTAAAACCTTATCAAAACTACAACAGAAGACTGAATAGAGAAAATATTACGGCACCGAGAGGAAAGGATTTTTCCCGCCATGTGCTCATCCACACAATGGTGGTTTCGCCTTTTAACCCTTTAGCCGCTCCCAAAGTTCTGTCCATCGATTCCTTCTTCGCTGTCCAGTGGTGGAGTTTGCTTCCTTAAATCTTGATTGGAGGTTAGATGTTGCCATAGTAACAAGCCGACCCTCCCAAATGTACAGAACCCAGGCCACTTCCTGATAACAATGCAAGGGGGGGGGGGGGGGGTAAAACATAAGTCTTTAAAACTTCTCTTAATATATATACATGATATTTGCCTTTTAATTGTGAGAGTCAACCATCGCATTATTCATCTATGACAATAACATCCCAGTTCAGGGGCTGCTTTCACGAGCAAAGGCTCACCCACGGCAGAGGCAGAAGAAGCAGGACAGGGCTGGGTTCCGTCGGGCGGCAGCAGCAGCCAATTCTCCTCCCTCTTCCTCCCCCCCCCCCAGTCAGCAGCAATCAATCGCCCGACTCTGAGAGAGCTAGAAGCTGGACCCAACCCCTTCCCTCAGCCGAAATCTCCCTATATCTCTGCTCTTTCTAGGAGAATGCCCCCTCAGCTAGGATAGTAAAGCCAGCTGCACTCCTCCCCCTTCTCTGTGGTTACTTCTTTTGTTTCTCTTAAGTACCGGCCGTTATTGTTTCTTAGCAACAAAATGGGAGAATATTCCCTAAGAGAAAGAAACAAAAGGAAAAATCCTAAACCTCAACAACATACTAATTCCAAATCTGATCAATTGTACTGGAATGAGAGAAAAACTTTACTCGATTTTGACCTTTGTCCTGCACAGACCACTTGCTACCTCATTCGAAGGCAGACACGGCAGTGTGCGGTATTGGGTGAAAGCTGAATTGCATAGGCCTTGGCTTCTACCAGTAAAATTAAAGAAGGAATTTACAGTCTTTGAACATATAGATATCAACACTCCTTCGTTACTGGTAAGAACTGACATAACTACTCATTCCTTTTCTAGCATAAAAATAATGAAGTATAATAACTGAAACAACATCAGCATGTAACTTTACCTAATATTTATTGGCTAGTTTAAGTACAGCTCTTCTTTTAAGTATTATATCAGTTTAACAACTCTTTAACTGCTGGTATTTTGAAGGCTAAGTTATCCTGTACTTGGAGTTGCTTGATCTTTACAAGATGTAAAATGCATTTTTCGGTCTAAACTGATACTACCAACTTGTAGACTCTCATTAAGGAAGAAAATTTGGTGAACTGGTCCTCTTAAATTATAAATAAAGAATAATCTATGATGGAACAATGCAATGCTTAATATTTTAGTGAGGGGTTGCAAACTTAAAAACACAAAGTAAAAAAGTTACTGCCGTGCATAATTGGTGTTATAAATAAAAAATCTGCCAATTTTTTGGGGGAAAAAGAGTTGCAAAACCAGTTTAACCAGTTGCTGCTAAAGTAAAGTTCTACCTGAGGGTGGAGGGGACATGGGGGAGCATCAGAGATGATACAAAAAAACAGCCTCGAGACCAGCATGCCATGGGAAGGAACTCCACCAAACTTACTGAAAAGACCCCAAAAACAACGAGCCAACACAGAATTAAGAGTTCAGAGTAACACTTGGACGTGAGGAACAAAGTACCAAGCCTGCAGAGATGCTGAAAACCTTTGTTGCCCCTCGCCCTAAGCAGGAAGACTTCAGCTGAGGCCAAGACCCTGGATGGCAAACCTGAAAGTTGTGAAACACGGGGTTACGCCCACTGCTCTCGTGAGGACAGGACCCCCAGCTCTGCCCTTTAGTGGACAAAGCTGCACATTCCTCCTCCTCCAAGTCACCCTGGGAGAGACGACGAGACTGCAGATCCCCGTTGAGCTTCCCAACCTTGAGCTGATCACTTTTAATAAAGGCATTAAAAGGAGATTATTTCAGCTGGGCGCTCGTCTGGGATAGCCACGCCCAAAGAGGACACCAGGACTGGCCATCTTGGACCTCCAGGACAGCTGGCTATCAGGACCAGAGAAGATCGGCTTGGGACCAGTGACGCAGAGGAGCGCTGGACTGGTGAGAAATATCCAGCAATGGAAGTAGGAGACGAGCGAGTGTGTGTGTGAGTGAGACGAGGGCTGGCAGGTCGCACCCTTGACCTCAGTGTGGACCCCTTGGTACCGCGTTTCCAAACCCTTGGGAGGGGGCCAGCCGGGAACAGAGGGAAGCAAGTGGAATAAGCCTGAGTGAGTCGTCTCCTAAGGGGGAGTGAGGGCCCCCCCTCCGGGCGTGCGGAGGAAATAGTTGTATGAGTGGCATGCACCCCCGAAAGTCCTGACAGAGGGAAGTCAGGCAGATTGCAAGTCCCGAGAAGGATTCGGGCAAGCTCACAAGCCCTGCAGGCAAATTAAGTCCTGACAAAGGGGTCAGGCACAAATCCCAGCGAAGGAAGCTGGGGTTTGTCTTTAAGTCCTGATATGGTGAGGCCTAACATTTGGAAGGTTAGGCAAACTAGAAATCAGGCAGCTGTTTTTCCTGACAGAGGGGAGTCAGGCAAGAATCGGCCTTTTACACCGGGGTTTCGTGTTTTTAAGTCCTGATAGATATAAGACCTGACATTGGTAAAGTTGGGCAATCAAGAGATCAGGCAGTTGTTTCAGTGTAAAATCCTGAGCGTCAGGCAAATATTTTTCTTGAGATTACCTGTCAGTAGAGGCAACTTTGGGATTTTTTCTGTTGAGACCCGAAAAATGGAAGGGTGTAATAGTAAGAAGACAGGCAAGAGATTGAGGAATATACCTCCCAATAGTCCCTTAGGGGAACTGTTAGAGAAATGGGATTCTATAGAGGCCACGGAGGGATTCGATAAGGTGAAGATGATCCCCTACTGTGTAGAAGTCTGGCCAGAATTAGAGGTACAAGGAGGATGGCCTTGGTGTGGGACAAAAGACAAGTGGATGTGTCAACAACTGAGTCACTATCTGACAGCTCAGGAGGATACCGATCCTGAGCAATTATTGTATGTAGCTTGCTGGTTAAAGAGTGTTATTGGGGATGAAGGTGTGTGAATTTGTAAGGTGCAGAAGAAGAAAGAGGGGAATGAAGGAGGGGATGCTAGAATTGGAAAAAAATGGGACCCCCTGGATTATTTGCCTCCTGCTGCCCCTCCACCTTATAATCCTCTTCCTCGGGCACCTCAAATGGCAGATCCGGTTCTTCCCCCAGCTGCCATCTCATTACCGCCTCCTCTAATTCCTTCTTCTACCTCTTTGGCTTCCCTTATGGTAGACCCAGTATCTCCCCTAGTAACCACTCTCTCACCACCCCCTTCGGCTCCTCCAGTTCCTTCTGCACCACCACAAGTGCCTACTCCACCTGCTGCATTCTCCACTCCTTCTCAAGCTCCACTTAATATGTACTCAATATGTACTCAATATGTTGCAGAGATAAACCCCCAGGTGTGGGCTGAAGGGGGAAAGCGAGGCTTATTGGACATTCAACTGATAACAATAAAAATGCAATATGATACTTCACCCATACGGGTTAAGCAGTATCCGATTTCCCTAGAAGGAAAGAAGGGGCTTGCCATAGTTATTGAACAACTGTTGCAAGAGGGAATTTTGGAACCCTGTATGTCACCACACAATACCCCTATACTGGCAGTTAAGAAAGCTGAAGGGAAATATAGGCTGGTACAAGACATGAGGGAGGTCAACAAAAGGACCATTGCTAGACATCCAGTTGTGCCCAACCCATATAGTCTTCTAGGCCGAATTCCAAGAGAACATGCTTGGTTCACTGTTATAGATTTGAAGGACGCTTTCTGGGCGTGTCCTCTGGCAATGGAATGTAGAGAATGGTTTGCCTTTGAATGGGAGGACCCGAGTACAAAAAGGAGACAACAGGTAAGGTGGCCCCAATTGCCACAAGGGTTCACGGAATCCCCCAACCACTTTAGATAAGCCTTGGAGGGTTTGTTAGAACAGTTTGTCCCTGAAGAAGAAGTACAGATCCTGCAGTATGTTGATGACTTGATGGTGTCAGGGAAAGGAAAATATCAAGTCAGAAAAACTAGAATTAAGCTTTTGAATTTTCTGGGGGAGAAAGGACTAAAGGTTTCCCAAGAAAAGCCACAATTTGTGCATTCAGAAGTAACATACCTGGGGCACATAATAGGAGGAAGGTATAAGAAGTTAAGCCCAGACAGAATTTCAGGTATTTTAGCTCTCCAAGCCCCAAAAGCAAAAAGAGATGTGAGAAAACTCCTGGGCCTGTTTGGATATTGCAAGTTATGGTTAGATCAATACATGCAAAGTGTAAAATTTTTATACAATAAATTAGTAGCTCCAGATCCCCTAATTTGGACAGCTGAAGATGACCAACAATTGGAGAACCTAAAAGACAAATTGTCTTCTGCCCTGGTCCTAAGCTTACCAGACCTCAGGAAGGGCTTTGACCTGTTTGTGAGTACAGAAGGAGGTATAGCCTATGGTGCACTAACTCAAGAGTGGGGAGGCTGCAGAAAACCTGTGGCTTACATCTCCAAATTGTTAGATCCAGTGGCTAGAGGCTGGCCAGTGTGTATACAAGCAGTAGCAGCAACTGCTGTCCTGATAGAGGAGACCCAAAAATTGACCTTACAAGGAAAAATTAAAGTACATACTCCTCATGACCTTAAAGCAGTACTGAGACAGAGGGCTCAGCAGTGGCTAACCGATGCCAAAATATTAAAATATGAGATAATACTAATGAACACAGATGACTTAGAATTTATCACATCCAATGCCCTCAATCCAGCACAATTCCTAATGGGAGAGCCTATAGAGAATTTAGAACATGACTGCCTTGAATTGGTTAACCTCCAAACAAAAGTAAGAGAAGATTTAGAAGATCAGCCTCTAGCAACTGGATGAATCTTGTTCATAGATGGCTCTTTGAGGGTAGTAGATGGAAAAAGGGCTTCAGGTTATGCCATTATAGATGGAGAAACTTTACAAATTGATGAAAAAGGGAAACTACCCCCAAACTGGTCAGCTCAAAGTTGTGAAATATATGCCCTGAAAAGAGGATTAGACTTACTGGAGGGAGACTGGGGAACTATTTATACAGACTCCCAATATGCATTTGGGATAGTTCACACATTTGGGAAAATATGGGAGGAGCGTGGGTATTTAAGCTCAAAAGGAAAAAGCTTAGCCCATGAGAACCTGGTCAGATCGGTATTAGAAGCTCTACAGAAACCTACAGAAATAGCGGTGGTCCATATAAAAGGGCACCAAAGAGGAGACAGTTTTGAAGTTAGAGGAAACTGACTGGCTGATCAGATAGCAAAGGAAGCAGCTTTAGAACCAGGGGATCCAGTAAAAATTTTGAAAGCAGAAACTACACCTGAGGAGAAAGAGAAGAACCCATATTTAGTGAAAAAGAATTAGAGGCTATAAAAGATTTAAAGTTACTTCAAGGGCAACGAGGGGAGTGGTTAACCTCAGATGGACAAGTGTTTTTGAACAAAGCACTGGCTCAGACGGTGCTAACAGAACTACATAAATTAACTCACTGGGGAGTCCAAGGATTATGCGATCATTTCTTAAGAAATAACCTATGCATAGGCATATATGGCCTAGCAAAAGCAATTACAAGAGGGTGTGTCATTTGTCAAAAAGTGAACCAGAAAGTCATGAGAAAGGTAGCACCTGGAGGGAGAGAATTAGCTTTAAGACCTTTCCAGAGCATACAGATAGATTTCACTGAGATGCCCCCAGTGCAAGGATACAAATATTTACTGGTTATAGTAGATCATCTCACCCATTGGGTAGAAGCCTTCCCGACTAGAAGGGAAACAGCCCAGGTCGTAGCAAAAGTAATCCTGGAGAACATTATCCCCAGATATGGAATGGTGAACACCATAGACTCAGACTGAGGTCCACATTTTGTGGCCCAAACATTGCAAAATATAATCGGAGCTTTAGGAATAAAATGGAGATTACATACTCCGTGGCACCCCCAGAGTTCTGGGAGGGTGGAGCGGATGAACAAAACTCTCAAAAATGTATTGACTAAATTGATCGAAGAAACAAAAATTACCTGGCTAAAGTGTTTGCCCCTAGCGCTTTTGCGCATCAGAACAAGACCTCAGTCTGACATAAGGATTTCACCTTATGAAATGATGTTTGGACTGCCATTCTTGTTAACACCCTATAGCACAGGAGACTATCTGGAAGGAGAAGAGGCTACCAGAAAGTATTTAGAGATCATTGGAAGAACTCTGGAAGGACTTAGAAAAAGAGGGTACCTCCCTCAAACTTCCCCTCTTGACCCAAAAGTTCATAACATTAGCCCAGGAGATTTGGTTTTGATAAAATCATGGAATACGGGACCATTAATGCCTAAATTTGAAGGCCCCTTTTGGGTACTCCTCATCACTAATTCGGCTGTGCGGACCAGAGAAAAAGGTTGGACTCGCATTACGAGAATAAAAGGGCCAGTCTCACCCCAGGTACGGGACCAGATTCGACATCAGCTTCTTCCTCTGGCATTGGACCAGATTCCACACCACTCTCACCTCCGGGCACTGGACAAGAGTCAACCACATCACAAGTTAATTCACCTGAGTATACCGTTATAAAAGGACCAAAAGACTTAAAGTTGACTCTCAGAAGGAAGAGTCAAAAAGACTGATGAACTGTATAAGAAAAGAATTTGTATCATAGCCATAACAGAGCTTAAAATGTTTCAAGACAGTTCTGTGTGTAAAATAAGTTTGTAAAAAGTTTAAGACTGTAAATAAGTAATTCTGGTTAAGTTCCCCCAATTTAGTTCCAAAGACTCCAGGTTAATCCTCTACAGAGCACTCCTCTAAGAGAAACCAAAATTAGTAGGGAACAGACCAAGAGAGGTTTAACCAGAGAAGTGGGTAGAAGAGACTCTAAAGAGCTTGGAAGCTTCTTCTCAGTAAAATTCCCAAAGAGGCAAGGCTGGGTGGGCAGGTCGTGCAAGATGACCCATACTGGACTCTTGGGAAAGGTAGTAATGATGGCTCTAATTGCTGGTGGTGCTCTGGGGAGCCCAGGAGAGCCGTGCAGATGTGACGGTGTTCACAGGGGTTTTCAGGTGAGGGAAGAGACAAAAATGTTGACTCCATGTTCAGAAGGCTTGATTTATTATTTTATGATATATATATTACATTTAAACTACACTAAAAAAAATAGAAGGAAAAGTTTCATCTCAGAAGGCTAGCTAAGCTAAGAATAGAAAGGAATGAATAATAAAGGTTTGTGTCTCGGACCAAGAGTCCAAGCTAACTGGGCTGTGGTTGGCCATTAATTGTAAACATCCAAGATGGGCCAATCACAGATGCACCTGTTGCATTCCACAGCAGCAGATAACCATTGTTTACATTTTGTTCCTGGAGCCTCTCAGCTTCTCAGGAAGAAAAACCCTAAGAAAATGATTTTCATAAAAAGATGTCTGTGACATGCAGTAAGTGCTACCAACCTCTCTATGAGGAGGAAGAAGTGAGGTCCTTGTCTAGAGTCCGCATCAATTCTAACCCTAATTGTGTTAACCTCTCCCAATTGGTCCTTTATCAAGAAGATATAGCCCAGAATACTGCCACTTTTAGGCAGCAACTCCTGGGGGAGTGCCCTGTAGGAGAAGCCTGGTTGTGCTTTGAATGTGATGCTGCTGAAGCAAGCTTAGTAGATCTAGTCAAAAGAAAAGAAATGGTAAAAGCAGTAAGAAAGATAGTTTGTAAAAGGTATTTTGCAGTAAAGAATTCGGCTACACGGTGGATCCCAAGAGATCCAAATAAATTAGAGTCTGTTGAGAAAAAAGAAAGAGACAAGTGTATCTACCATGAAGTATATGAATTTTATGAGTGTACTGAAAAAGGGATAAACCCCTTTTGGAAAATGAAGGAACTGTGTAAATATTGGGAATGCCCAACAGAAACTAATAACACATTTCGAGAGAGCCCTAAACACCTGGTTTTGATCTCTGGTACTACAGCATACACTAAATTGTCAGGAGACTGGTCTGGCAGCTGCACCGCTAGAATGATAAAACCAGTGTCCTTCTTATTACCCAAAGAAACTGGATCAAGTTTAGGAGTTCCTATATACAATGATTTAAGAGAAACGAAACAGAAGAGGGAAAGTGCAATAGAAATTGAGAGAATCCAAAATTGTAAGAGCCAAGTTCAGACCCCGATATCTATGTTAAACAGAATCATCAGGCTCCAGGCAGTATTAGAGATAAAGAATGCAATCATTAGAAACATCTCAAACGAAATTAAAAAACTAGCATATGTAAATAATGAAGAACAAACTCGTACGCTTGATTCCAGTTGGTGGGATAACCTATGGATTTTCAAAAAAGATTTATGGGAAAAAGTAGTTTTCCTCACGGTGTGTATACTTGGAGGATTGCTTTTTACTATGCTTACTTCCCTGCTTCATTAAAATAGTAGTATTGGCCGTGCAGACCAACCTAAAGATCTCAAAAAATTCTAACCTGAAGAAACCAAGAAAGGTAACAAAGTTAAGTAACCATGATTACCAGAGTGCTCAAGAAATCTATAAACTATACAAAAAATTAAAGAAATATGAAGCTCATGAGTCAGAAATTGCAAGTTGATGGGAGCTTAAGTTTAAGCTCAATAAAAAAAAAAAAGAGGGGGGACTGTTATAAATAAAAAATCTGCCAATTTTTTTGGGGGAAAAAATAGTTGCAAAACCAGTTAAACCAGTTGCTGCTAAAGTTCTACCTGTTTGTTATTGTAATCACCGGCCATTCTCATAAATGGCTCCTTTTGTATCAGTATGGCCCAGCCTGAGGCTAAGTTGTCCTTCTCCCCAAACGGTAGGTGGAGGGGACATGGGGGGGGGGGCATCAGAGACGATACAAAAAAACAGCCTCGAGACCAGCATGCCATGGGAAGGAACTCCACCAAACTTACTGAAAAGACCCCAAAAACAACGAGCCAACACAGAATTAAGAGTTCAGAGTAACACCTGGACGTGAGGAACAAAGTACCAAGCCTGCAGAGATGCTGAAAACCTTTGTTGCCCCTCGCCCTAAGCAGGAAGACTTCAGCTGAGGCCAAGACCCTGGATGGCAAACCTGAAAGTTGTGAAACACGGGGTTACGCCCACTGCTCTCGTGAGGACAGGACCCCCAGCTCTGCCCTTTAGTGGACAAAGCTGCACATTCCTCCTCCTCCAAGTCACCCTGGGAGAGACACCCCGTTGAGCTTCCCAACCTTGAGCTGATCACTTTTAATAAAGGCATTAAAAGGAGAAAAAGTCTCCTGCCCTGTTTATTTCAATTGGTAATAACCGTATGAATAGTTTTCTACTGATGGGGAGGAAACGATCGCAATGCTGTATAATCCTTTTCTGAAATGTCATTTTATTAAAATGACTTTAATATCACAACTGCTCTCAGTGAGGATTTGATTTCAGTCTGGCCTAAAATCCTTTTTTTTATCCCCTTCTCAAATTTTAATCTAGAGGGGAAAGAAAATCAGAAGATCATTGAAACAGATTTCTTGTGTGTATGGGTGAATAATCAGCTTGCAAAGAGACCTTGTAAAAAATCCATGAAAATCGAAGGTCTCTCATTTGACTTTAGTGGGCTTTGGTTCAAGCCCTAAATCCTGGTGTTGTGTAAAATAAGTCTTTTTAACATAGATGAAACAGGATTATTCGGAAACTGAGGAAATAGCAGGAGTAAAGATTACAGTAGTTAAGCTTAGTTATTTTGTTTTGGAAATGCAGCATAATGGAAAGTGTGAAGATGTTCTAATTTGCTGTTAGTTAAATTAAAAGCTCTGCAGCATTATGTTGGGATGTGTAGGCTATGAAGCCTTTTGTTTTAACCTATGGAGTATTTTCTTTTAGTATTGTTTTAATTGTAGCTGTAGTATGGAGGATCACAGAAAAAGCAATACGAATACACCAGTGGAATTAGGACAAACATTGTATCTGTATAATGTTGTTTAAACTGCTTGAGACTTTTCCTATGGAAGCAGCTTTGTTTATCAAAATATGTAATAATAAGCACATTATGAAAATTATTATTTTCGTGTGTTGGTTTAAATACCCGATGAGATTCATGGAGCTCCTAATTTGATGGACAGTACTTTTCTTCTTCTTGCAGTCACCCCAAGCAGGCACAAAAGAAAAGACTCTATGTTGTTGGCTTTGTACCTCAGGCCCAATATCTTTAAGTGCCAAAATTGAAAGAAAGGGCTACACCCCAGGTATGTGATCCTATAATCAATTCTGTGTGGTTTTCCTTCCTTTTTAAAGCTGGAGTCTGTACTACTGTTTTTACATAAATGAAACATTAAGGATATTTGTACCACATCAGTCTGCATTTAGCAATCTTCTCTGCATACCCTGTTAACTAAGAGAGCGCTACTTGCATCTCTAGAATGTTCAATGACCTCATCTGTTAGACTGGCATGTTTTGAGTGTTAGACTGTTTTTTGGTTTTTTTTTGAACGCGTTGTTTTCATTTTCCTTTTAAAACATCTCATGGGGATCTTGTTTCTATTAGCATCAGTGGATGTGGTTTTTTTCAGGTAGAGCAGTGATAGCAGCATTGTTATAACAGTATAAAGAATGTGAAAGTTTGCTTAAACTGCCTTGTAAATGTAAAGAGAAATTGAAATTCTGGTGTGTTTTGTTGAGATTTTTTTTGTTTTTTCTTTTTTTTTTCAGGTGAATCAATTCAGATCTTTGCTGAGATTGAGAATTGCTCTTCCCGTATGGTAGTGCCAAAGGCAACCATTTACCAAACACAAGCATTCTATGCCAAAGGGAAAATGAAGGAAGTCAGACAGCTTGTTGCCAACCTCCGTGGGGAATCCTTGTCATCTGGCAAAACAGAAACCTGGAATGGCAAACAGTTGAAAATTCCACCTGTTTCCCCTTCAATCCTTGACTGTAGTATAATCCGTGTGGAGTATTCACTGATGGTATGTTGGGGAGTCTGTTTCACTCGCGAGAATGAGTAGCTTCCAACATGCCATACAAATTTCTAGCACAGCATTTTGTGATGATTAGTGTTATAAATGATCAAATCGGGAGCCAAATTTATCAAAGATTTATTAATTTGTCTGCGAGACTGAAGTTCGGTCTTCGAAACCACCTCAGCCAAAGAGACAGCGTCGAGCCCGGGATTGGCGCCGGGTGAACATGGATCTGACCTCCTGAGTGTCAGAGTTCCCCCAGTTCACACTTGCGGCTTCACGCAGGGAGGTTTTATACAGTTTATTCTGCCCGAGGCAAAGATGATCAAATTTTCTTTGTGTCTCTTCACATGCATTGCTTTCCATGTACAGAGGTGGACAAAAGCCTCGTCCAGGTGTGCCATTGGTGTCAATTGGCTTTGGAAGAGCCGTGTATTCAGATGTATCAGGGTGGCCCGGAAACCAATGATCATCGCCCTGGAAGCTTCTATTCTTATGTTAAGGCATCGATTGTTATCTTAACGTGCATCCAGGAACTAGTTGAATCTGAATAAGACAGCTGCTCTGGGCCAGAGTAGTCAAAAGTCATGGTTTGGATTTCACAATATTTTTATACCATACATTAATAGCATGAATTATCCCTACCATATATTACAATCCTTCCCTATTTATATCACTAATTAATTCATGCTTCTTTTATAACCCAAATTGCTAAATTCTTTCATTTCTACTTCTACCCGCCACCATTAAGGGTCTTTCACAAAAAGAGTAACCTCTATTACACTACCCTGTACTCCCCTTGTGGAACACCCTGATACTCAATATTATTTATATTCGTTTTCACTCGTTTCTCAAATTTCGCCAATACTTAGGCAGCATTGCTGGCATACTTCCTTTCTCCCAGTCTCATGATCTTAGATGTGTTGCCTCCGGAAGCCACCTCCAGGTCCACGGGTACTATTGCTATCTGCATCCCTTGGACCACGGAATGGATCAGTCTAATAAAACGAGAATTAAGACAGGGCAGGAATAGGATTCCGCCTACTGAACACAGCACAAAAAACATAACTTGGTTCCACCAGGCCCCATCGAACAGTCTGTCCCACCATGAAGATTGCAAAATCGAATTCCATTTTTGAATGGGGACATGGGCCACCTTCTTGATTTCGGCTGCCAATCCTCTTATGGTTTCCTCATAATCGTCAATCTCAATACAACATTCTGATTCATTGAACTTTCCACACACTCCCCCTTCTTTGGCCAGCAAATAGTCTAAAGCTATTTGATTTTGGTACACAAATGCCCGTACCTGGGTGTGCTGCCAACTAAGTAAATCCAAGGCTTCGGAGGTGTGATTCGATACAATTTCCACCACTGCCTGCAGCCGAATCAGCCTGTTCAGTAGGTAAATCGGAGTCCTATACCCATAGCTTCCATCCTGGGCCCACGTGGCCGGTCCATAATAATCAATTATTCTTGCAGCTGGCCACTCTTCCTCCCCCCAGGTTTGTTTGCCACTTATCACCGCTATCATCTTTTTCAAGCTTCTCCTCTCCCTCCTCAGGGTCTCATACAGAGGAGCCCCTAGTAGGTTACTCTTTGTTCGAGGGAGAGTGAAGAACACTCGCCGGATCATGCCTAAAGTGCATGATCCTTTCCACCTTGGGGGTAACTCACTGTATGCCTTCTTCCCACAAATCCAATAAATTCCATCTGGGGCTTTCCACCTGATGTTTATTCTCCCTGGATCTCCCCAGTATTCCCTCAGGCCCTCCAAGGATTGAAAAGGGTTGGCTCCAGGATTTTTGACCCAGCACAGTCCTATCCTTTTGTTCCATTCACAATGCATCTCGTTCTTCCGGCTCCAATACCCCGAAGGGGGTTCTGGCTGCCAGACCTTGCTTTTGGTGTTTGAGTTCACTGTCAGGGTGGACACACACAGAGTGTATCCCACCATTTCGGTGTACTCCTTTCCTTGCCGACTGATGCAGATAGTTCCAATCACCCTCTGGTCCAAAATCCATCCCTCAGGTCTCTGTGCCAATTTTGAGACCCTTGGATTGTCCCAGTTCAGAAGCTGTTCTGGAGCCAAACCTTCTCCTTTCCAAGGCCATTTCTCTGCTGACTTCAGCCCCCCCACAAATCCAGCAATTTGACAATCCTAGTTCGGTTGCAATTTCTTGCATCAGGTCAACGAATAGATTCCTGTCCGGGGAAGGTGATTCCCCATCAGCATATTGTTTCTCCAGTAATTCATACTGTTCTCCCAGAGTTTTTAATCTTTCCTGTTCAACTCGCTTTCTCCTCATTTCTGACTCCCTTCGCTTCAGTTCCTGAGTTATTTCTCTCATTCTTCCCTCAGGATCCTCATCGTCTTTATTTTTCGTGAAACAGACAACCTGGTCATATTGCAGGCACACCCTATCATCATTTGCCTGTGCCAAATCCAATATGATTGGTTCTCTGTTCAGGGTAAATTTGCTATCAAATTTAACATTTCTCCCCATCCAATACATTTTCCCGTTCATCATGCATATCCCCAGCCTCGCATTGTCGTAACACAATGGATTCACCTGGTGATACGCGACAAAGATCGATTCCGTCTTTTCCCCCAACCCACATGGTTCGGTTGCATTGGTTACAAATGGGGATTGACATTATTTCTGCATTTCGTTTCCATATCTGGTGTTTGTTCTCATCTGACTGCCCGTTCCTTAGCCCTGCCTCAGGATTGATACACCAAATCCCTTTTTCCAATCACACAATTTGACCCTCGTGCCGTTTTTCCAACAGTACCTGCCAGGCTCCTTGAGACATTCTTCCGGGGCTTGGTATGCTGAGGGTCTCCCGTCCCCTTGCACAACTGGGACCACCTGAGTGCAATTTCCGCACTCATCTGCGGAGCTCTCGTTTCCACCTCTCATCGGGACCTCAATGTGCAGACTCTGCGTCCCGCACACGGCTAGGCTCAGGCCCATCAGGATTCCCACCAGGCGTACTCCTCTGCCTTTTCCTCCGCCCCCTGGGGTGCCACCAGTGGCGAGGAAGACCATCTTCACGGCAGCAAGAGTATCCTTCAGGGAACACGTTCTCTGACCTAGCCGCATACCTCCTTTTAAAAGTGCCCCACCGTGAAACCCTGACAGCATCGGAACTACACGGTACTTTGATGGACTTCCGGCACTCCACATCCAGAATCTCCGCTTTTGATCTAAGCTTTCCACGCACCCCATTCTGAAAAATCTGCAACCACTCTTGTGAATCTAATTCAATGATTCCCAAATTTGTGGCTAAGGTTAGGATTCGGTCAGTCAGCTCGAGCTCTTCCTCCAGACACTGAGTGCACAGCCTCTTTCGGCCACTGTCCCCTTCTACAATGAACGACAAACACCCCCTGACAATATTCACACTTGAAGTGTACAAACAGATAGCATACACAATCAGACAGTATACAACTTATCCGCTCGCCGTCGGTCATTTACAAGGACGTTGGAGTCTGAGTTTCAGGTCGCCTGGGGAAGAAGTGACCCTCCACTCGGGCGCTTCCTCCTGTTGCTCGACTTTCTTCACTCTAGACGCGTGCGTCCAGCCTTTCTCCGCCGTCCGAACGGCCGTGTCTGTTGTCAGGAGCACAAGAAAGGGACCTTCCCAGTGAGGAGAGAGGGGTACTGTTGTTGTTCTATTTCTAGAGTCCCATATTGTTGTTGTCAGATTTCTAAAGTCCATACCTATACCTCCTTGGTGTGTTCTTATGGCTGCAGATCTTCACAGCACAGACTCCTTCTTCTGCATCTTGTTCTTTCTCAGTTCAGGGCTCCTCCAAAGCTCTCCCTGACTGGCTAACCCGCCCCCTTTTATCCCAGTTATCTTCATTAGTTACAGCTGCAGCCCATCAAGGACAACCGGGACCTCCCGGGGCAAAGCCTGTATACAGATATTCAGGTACAATACATTTCCTCTACTATAGGTTACCTCCTTCCACACTTTTACAAGCACTCTGTCACCCCGTTGGATTTTGTGGATAGCGAATCCCAGAGGAGCACTCTGAGCCACTATCCCTTGTTTTCTGAGTTCTTGCAAATTTTTGTTGATTGCAACCAGATACGGTTGAATCTGACAGTCCTCAAACCTGGGGTGTCCCACCGGCATTCCATGTCTATATGGCATTCCATATAACATTTCAAATGGTGAGAGCCCCATCTGCATGCGGCATCGTTTGGATATTAAGCAATGCTAAATGCAGGTATTTCAACCAAGACATCCGAGTTTCTAAAATCAATTTAGATAACTGTGCTTTCAAGGTCTGACTCATTCTTTCCACCTGTCCTGAACTCTGGGGATGACACGTAGTGTGGTATTTCCACCGAATGCCTAGCGCATCAGCCGTCTGCTTAATAATCTTTGATGTAAAATGTGTCCCTTGGTCCAAATCAATGCTATTCAACACCCCATATCGGGGTACAATTTCCTCCAACAATTTTCTGGACACCGTCTGAGCCGTTGCCCATGGGCTAGGAAAAGCCTCCACCCAATGAGTCAATTTGTCCATGACCACAAGCACAAATTTGAATCTCCCCACTTTTGGCAACTCCGTGAAATCAACTTGAATCCTTTCAAATGGTCAGTACACAACGGGGTGACTCCCCAGGGCGGCCTGTTTTGCCCTTGTCTTGTTAATTCTCTGACAAATCAGGCACCCTTTTACCTCTTGTTTGGCCAATTCGTAAATTCCCTTGCTCATGAAAAATTTCAAAATTTGTTCTGCCAGGGCTTGTGCCCCCCAATGTGCTCGCTGGTGCAGTTTCCGCAAAATCCTCCTGGTAAAACCCTTAGAAACTAGTTCTCTCCCATCAGGTAATCTCCACTTACCTGCTTTCAATTCTCCTCCAATCTTTTCATAACATTCGATCTCCTTTTGAGAGGGCTGGGGAGGATCATCTGGGACCTCAGTCCCTTTGATCTCTGGGGTGCTCACCGTCATCAACGCTGCGATTTTGGCTTCCTGG